TCTTCGTGAGTTTGTTAAGCCCGAACCTAATAAGACACAGAACGATACTAGTCCAAGACAAACCTAACAGGGCTATTTCAACCCATGTCCAAAACGCAGTCATGTATTCTTTTAGATCCGTCTCGAGAAGCTTTTTGAACTCGCAGTAAGTAAACAAAAGGGTGAATATAAGAAAGGAAGCTTCGCAGATCAAGACAAACAACAAGAAATTTCCAATTCGTTTTCAAGTCGTTTAATAAAAATGGAGTAAGCCTTCTTTATTGTCAATCCTAGGTTAGCTTTGTAGCAACCCCAGGATTTTTTTAGCTAGTACTGCTCTTGTGACTTTTTGCTTCATTCTTTTTTGCCCCAGGGTTTTTTGCTGACGCGCAATGGCTCTGTGGGGAGAGGGACTTCCATATAAGAATAATCGGGGTGCTGGTAGTGCCTTTTAGAGGTTTAAATAGCTGTTTTGGTACCTCTTAGGGTGTTCAGCCTCAAATGGTCCACAGTAGGAGTTTTTGTGGTACCTTTTAGGGTATGGAACCGAAAAAAAAAATTGACAGGATGTAATGTTCTTTTCAGAATGGGTATTTCTTAGCGGTCAAAAAAATTTCAAGCCACGCCCACGAAACAGGATCTTGCATGGTACTTCTTAGGGTTCTTTTAAAAATTTCCAGCGAGTACTCACGTCTTTTTTTTATATGGGTTCCTCCCCCCCCCCCGGCGTCGTGGCCGACGAAACCGTCAGTGATAGTCAGGAATTGGAAGGAGTGGGCAAATTTTGGGTTAATTATCCGAGCCCTGCAGAAAACACATTTAGAAAATAGTTCGAAGAATATACAAGTACAAAACATGTTCTCCGTCTTTCTGTCAAGTTATACAAACACTCGTGGATGTTTGGGAGAACTCGAAAAAGCTGTGGAAACGCTCGCCTGCGGCTCGTGTTCGATCCCACAGCTGAGTTTCTCGTTCTCCCAATCTTCCACTCGTGTTTCTATTTCTTTTAAATTAGATTATGAGCTCAAGATTTCTATCTATTTAATTACCGTAAACATAATTTGTAAAGGGCTTTGGTTGATTTTCTTTTCGATAATGATGAAAACGTGGCTTCTTCTTAAAAACATACCCATATCAAAACTAGACTGCAAAAACCAAATCCTATTTATGACAAATGGTCAAAATCAGCTAAAATTGATACCCTATTTATGACTAAAACGGCTGAAAAACCATACCCTTTGGGGCCGCACATACCTATATAGCCCATATAAAGGAGTACCCCCAGGGTCCCGGGGGGAATAGGGTAGGGCTGCGGTGTACAGGTTATCATGCATTACGTACCTACCACTGACCATGTGCGTTGACCTCATGGAGAACGAGAACATGACAGAGGTAGAAGAGGTTGAGTTAGACTCGCCTGAAATTATTTACGAGGATTTTAAAGATGAGCTGCTCCACAAACTTAACGAGCTTAGAGAAACGAAC